CCCCAAAACCCCAAAACCCCAAAACCCCAAACGATATGAATGAGGACTTATATTAGTGATGACAACAAATATGGTAATTAAATTATAAATATAAAATGCTTACAGTGCCCTTATTTGGAATACCTGACTAGTAGAATTATCTCGAAATCAAGCAGACCTAACTGCCTGAAGATGTCCAAAAACTGGCATTTTTACTTCAAAGAGAAAGAGTTCCTATTACTTACTGGGTTTAGATTTCAGTAAGTATTTAATCGCACATCGATTGACTAATCAAATGTATAGTTGATGTATCACAGATTAGGCAAAAACTAGTCCTTTGCATACCTTCTGAATGAGGCCGTAAAAGATACTGACAAAAAAACTAATCCTCATCTGTTCGATAGCATTGATGACAGACTCAAAGCTTTCAATCATCTAGCTATTTTCTATTTGCTAGCCTCTGAATATGAAGTAGATTAAGATACTGTCGAAAAGTTGTTCCAAAAAGGAATGGTAAATATCAACAATGCAGATCAAATTAATTTATCAGAACCAGAGACATGGCTGACTAAGTGTATTTTTCAATTCTCAATGGGATAGATGAAAAATGCAAAGATCTAGTATCTGGATCATTTTGACGAAAAGAAATTCTCGCACCCCCTAGTCAATGTCTTGAAATCGATAATTGAGTTTAACTAGGGAAATTACAAAGAATCCCTAAAAATACTCAAGAACATTTTGAGCAACAATCCAAGATCACCTAATTACATTAGATATGCTATTGGATTATGCTACTTTAGAATAGGCAATATTGAGAAAGCCAGATTTGCATTTTAAAGAGTCATTGAACTAGAACCTGATCATGAAATGGCGGTAATCTCACTTGCTATTTTAGAGATTTCAACCTAGTAAGATGTGCCCGATGTGTAAAATTAGATTAGAAGACTATTGGAGTTAGCTTTCAAAATTAATCACAAGAACCCATTGACTCTAAGGTATCTGGCCGAGCATTACTTCCAAAAGAGAAGTTATCATATTGCATAACAGCTTTGTGAAAATGCTTTGAAATCTCTTGAGAGGTGTAGAAGAAAAGAAGCAACCATCAAGGAAAATCCAAACTTTAGAAAGGAACTCGAACAATTAAAGAGTGATATCTACTTCATATTAGGAAAAATAAATCATGTTTAGGAGAACTACCAGGATGCCCTTGGCTTCTACTCTAAGGCAGTAAAGTGTAATAATTATAATTTCTCAGCGTAATTCTGTCTTGGCAAAGTCCATTATAGCTTTAATAACTTTTAAGAAGCTGAAAATTGTCTTGATACTGTGCTTTCCAACCCAAAGCATAAGGATTGCTATGAAGCACTCAGATTACTAGCACAAACAAAGTCAAGGTAAAATAAGATCAATGAAGCTGTCGAGTTATTTAAGCGAGTATTAGAGCTAAATCCTTAGGACTTTGAAGCTAACTTTGAAATAGCTCAAATGTTTGAATAGACTGAACCAAAGCATGCCTTGGTATACTATGAAGGCGGTTTGAAAATATTACAAAATGAAATAGACGAGAGACAGCATTAAGAGTCTAGCTTGCAAGATGATCCGAATAGAAATGCAAGTGATGATATAGTGCCACCAGAAATACTTTTGAATGTGGGAACTCTCAGACTTGAAGTGGGTAAAATCCTCGAAGCATTTGAGTCATTTTCAGCTTCAATCAAGAACTGCTAGAAATTAATTCAACTGAAACCAGATGATAACCGATTTAAAGCGATCTTAATAACTGCTAAATTCAACCTAGGGTATTGGTTTGAATTATAAAATAGGTTAGGAGAGGCTAGCGAATAGTACAAGCAGATAACTTCGTAAGAGCCATCTTACGTAGATGCTTATCTGAGATTGGCTTATTTAGCTAGGAATAGAGGAGATATGAAAAGAGCTCTTGAGTATGTAGAAATTGCTAAGTCAAAGTAAATAAAGAAGCCTGAGGAATTTTCAAGGCCAGTCAATTAATTCTGCTTGAAGGGCAAATTCTATTCAGACATCTCTGAAATCCAAAAGGCATCTGACGAGTTTAAGTTTGTAAACGAAAAACTAAGCAGAGATAGCTATGCTATCATAGGAATGGCTAATCTTAAGTATGAAATTTCTACTAGAATCAGATAAGATGTCAAGCAATAAGAAAGTTACCTGAGAAATGCAATGGATAAATACATAGCTGTTCTTGAAACAGATGAGTCAAATGCTTTTGCTGCTCTAGGAGTGGCTAATGTATTAGCTGAACATGGAAAAACTAGCGAGTCGATGGAGATATACAAAGCTGTTAAAGAAAATTCACCTGCAATTCCTCACCCATTAATAAACCAAGCTCATCTCTGTGTTGAACATAAAAATTTGACTGGTGCAATAAATTTGTATAAAAAGGCATTAGAAAAATTTTAGGGTGGTAGAGACCTTGAAGTTGAACTATATTTATCAAAGGCATACTATAAAATGATGGACTTTGAGAATTGCAAAAAGATCCTTTACCAGTTGATGCAAAGATACCCTCATGATCTAAGACTCAAGTTTAATCTGGGATTATGCTTAATGGATTAAGCAAGAGAAACTTTCAATAAGCATGTTAGAAAGGTTTCAGAGACGAAGGAAGCAATAGCTCAGCTTCATCATTCACATAAGTTGATCTTGCATATCCTGAGAACAGGCTCCTCTTAGCAAGACTTATTTTCTCAGCACCACTATTCGAACATGTCTTAGGACTAATTACAGATGGAGCGAATCAACTTCCGTGAGATGCACAGAGTGTGTGACGACAAGCTGAGTTTAATCAAGGAAATGATTCAGAGTGGAGACAGCTATCTTTCTCATGATGCTGAGTTTGAAAAATAAATAATGGACTAGGAAAATAACAAGCTGACAAAGATTAAGGAGATATAAAGTGTTCAGGAGAAGTAAGAGTAGGACAAGTTAGAGAGATAAAGATAAATCTAGGAGTAGGAAGAGTAAATTGCTGAGAAGTACGCTGAAAGTGTCGCCTAGCTAGCTCTAAAAAACTTAATAAAGGAGAAAAAGCCTAAGCACAATGAAAGCTAAGGCGATGACGGGGATAAGGAGATGAAGTTTGACAGTGATGACGATGGAATCATGCAAGATTATATGTTCCATTAGGATGAGGAAGAAGATAAAGTTTTCAACGAGGATGATGAAAGCATCCACAAAAGAAGGGAAAAGAAGAAGAAGGACAAGAAGGATAAAAAGGATAAAAAGAAAAAGGATAAAAAGGATAAGAAAGATAAGAAGAAGAAAAAGAAGAAGAGCAGGAGAGAGAATGGCGAGAATAATGCTAATGGAGAAGGCAATAATGAGGACAACGATTAATCAAGAGATAAGAACGTGCGCAGACTCAAACTTAAAAGAAATAGAGACATTGAGGAAGCTGCCGAAGGTGAGGTCGGTGAATAGCTAACTCAGCATAACTAAGATGAAGAAGATATTATCAGAGATGATTAGAATGAAGAAAATGCTGAAGCTAACAAAGAAAGTGAAAATGAGCAGATGATAGATTGATCGGACTATTCTGGAATAATAAAACTAAGTAATTCTAATCAATCTATATTAAACAATTAAAATGATCTTGGTTTAATTTCAAAACATTTTATCCAAGTAACTGGCAATGATTCCAAGTAATGGGGTTTTGGGGTTTTGGGGTTTTGGGG